CAAACGACTGTTGCAAGTTCGAAGAATCCTGGTCAAAGTAGAAAGGTCTGAAGACTATTCCCTACAAATCTGTAACTTACACATTGTACCCTAACTGGGTAGAGCTTCAGTTCGGAGAAATATCAGAAAGACAACGATGCAATTATCTCCAATGTTGTAGAAAGCACTCCACTTACTAAGGAAAACAATAACCCACTGAGATATTGCATTCTTATCGGAAATAATATTTTCGTACCTCTCAGATCTGAACTTGAACACGCGAGGTCTGCTTCTATGTCAGGCTAAAGGTCTGCAAGATGTTTAGCAACACTGGGACGTAATAGTCATAGGCCTGCTCCAAACAACGGAATATATATCTTGTGAGAAGGACTTCTCCGACAGGGAAAATTACAGCAATGCATCATCACATTTATTTGTGTGACATTTGCTTTCGGAATCTGGGTTTATGGATCGTCAATTTAAACAGGACAATCGAGACGAATTTCACAAAAGGCACGGAGGCCCAACATGCCTATGGTATACTCAGAGAACGCGCACGCCTGTGCTATCGCTGAAGGGGTAGTTGTCGGCACAGGTACTACAGATATGCACCCCAGGTACGTTTCTGTATACAGACATGTACCCTAAACAAAGTCAAACTACAGAAACGTACCTGGTACCCTAAACGACGGACGAGTCCATATTCCGCGACCCAATACCGAAACCGTATGTAGTTATTCCCGTTCAGCTGATTGCGAGTGGTGTACGTTGAGCACCGTGAAATATTCTTTATACTGTGTATGCTCTTATATAACGCAACCAAATGCATCTAATACAACAGTATGACAGTTCCGATTTCTGTATTCTGATTATGGCCAGGGTACATTTCTGTATACAGAAACGTACCTGGGGTACACATCTGTAGCACCCGTGCCGACAACGACCTTTTCAGCTGTGCTAACCGGTCATAATCGCTACACGATAAAACTCACAGAATATTTAATTGTATATGGCGTTGTTTGTTATCGTATACGTTTGTGTTAATGAAACAAATGTGGACAACTTTAAGTTCATGTATGGCGTTATTACAGCAAAGGCTGTGCGGAAGGAGAAATAACATGGTTCAGGCACTGTGAGACTATTAAGAAAGGTCACATGCAGTGCGATAATATTCTAAATTGTACTGCCAAAACTATTTTACAGTACTGATGCGCGAGCTGAAGAGAAATTACGAGTTGGTTCGTGTAGCGTATTCGGCCGTGCTCCAAGAGAGATAAAGTGCTATTCTGTTGGGACAGCTGTAGGGACACCATTCTCTTCCCACAGAGGTTACTCCTGTCATATCTTCCTACGTAACCTCTGTTCTAATACGGCCCTTTCATGGTGTGAGCGTTCAAGACTCGTGATTGGAGGCAATCAGATTGAGTTGTGCAATCAGCGACGTTGTTTCAAAAGTGATCATTCGCAAGGCCTCGGTAATTTCCATATACTTCGAGAAAACTAAACCTCTTCCCCTGCGCGATGCGCAAACGTTTCTTCTAGACAGAACTCAGTCATGTTATGGCGGATCAGTGGCGTCGCCATCGCCCTCGTTGACAGCGGACAAGCTAGCCATTAAACGTCTTGTGTGTAACATCAACACAAGTCCCCGGCAGATGGGGGATATTTGTGGCCTCACATTTGCTTGTGTTAGTCAAGTTGAATCTAAGTCGATGTAACACGTGTTCTGATTGGATAGAAAGAAGGGAGATAATTCGTGTTGCGATCTTTTGCCGCTAGGGGATTTTACGAGAACCGGGAAATATGGCCGTATTAGAACAGAGGTTACGTAGGAAGATATGACAGGAGTAACCTCTGTGGGAAGAGAATGTAGGGACACTTGCAAGGACAAAGGGGCAGCTCATCGCCCTTTTGTTCACTAATCACAAGATTTGCCAACACCGCAGACAAAGCGTAACTGATACTGGTAGCAAGAGCGAGTGCAGCTTAATAAGCCATGTTAGATTGCGTAATACCGGTTTCTTAGTCAGGCTCTTTTGATGATAAGAATAATGAGGTCACGTGAACGTTGATTTCAAACGTACTAAAATGTGTGAAAATGAAATTACATCATCAAAGTAATTCACATGATGGAAACAAATGATCATCTTGCTTGAGCACAGGTAACATGAAGGTGAAGAACCGTTCATATACATAACCCTGAAATCCGGTATGATACATAAATATCTAAGGTGTGGAAACATTTGCAAATTAGAAAATTTACATGTGTTTCCCCACCTAAGTAAATTTACATGTGTTTCCTCACCTAAGTAAATTTACATGTGTTTCCCCACCTAAGTAAATTTACAAGTGTTTCCCCACCTAAGTAAATTTACATGTGTTTCCCCACCTAAGTAAATTTACATGTGTTTCCCCACCTAAGTAAATTTACATGTGTTTCCCCACCTAAGTAAATTTACATGTGTTTCCCCACCTAAGTAAATTTACATGTGTTTCCCCACCTAAGTAAATTTACATGTGTTTCCCCACCTAAGTAAATTTACATGTGTTTCCCCACCTAAGTAAATTTACAAGTGTTTCCCCACCTAAGTAAATTTACATTTTCCAACCTGGGTAAACTTGGAACAAAATCGTAAATTTCAGCACCCATTGAAATTCAAAGGAATGCATCGGAAATACTGTATGATCATGTATTTACTGGGGTATCTGTTTTGCAATTCATGTTTGGAAATACCTGACAATCCGGTCATGGCATACATAAACGAGGTACATGTGCATACGAAAATGTACGGTGAGCATATGTTTCAAAGGTATAGATTCATATGAAATATATGCCCGAAGTTAGGAAATATCTGAAAACATACGTAAATCCGGTCATGGCATGTATTTCCTACTGTATTTACATTTATTTCAATGGTTTACTATCCGGCTTTTGGTCCTGTGTTTGTTTGCGTCAATTAATATATCCCCACAATTAAATGTTTCTGTATTTCACTTGTCGTTTAACAAAACCTCAAATTCGATCATTCTTATCATATAACTAAGCCCTCCCTCAGGAAATACGGAATTTACAATGGTCGTAAAGTTCCGTACACCCTTTCAAAATACTATACCCTGTAACTAATAGTATGTTTTCACAGATGATGTAGGAACGTAGCTGTGTATACAAGATCGTGAAGGATTAACGTTGATATAGGGTTGTCGATATTGTCAAACATGTAGGGATATGCTCACGCTGCACTGCTTAACTCTGGCTTCATGAAGAATTTAACAATAACACGCAGAACCACCAACATAGTTACAGATGCTTTTATTATGAGTTTAACATAGAGTTGCCGTATCCATGTCAACTATTCAACCCACAGGATGGTGGTTGTCGGGATGGTTGTTGTCGGGATTATGTGGAGGCTGAAATATACATTCATATATATAGCATATATAGAGATATATAACATATATACATATATTTAGCATATATAGAGATATATAACATATATATAGATATATAGCATATATACAGATATATAACATATATACAGATATATAGCATATATAGAGATATATAGCATATATACAGATATATAGCATATATACAGATATATAACATATATACATATATATAGCAGATATACAGACATATAGCATATATACAGATATATAGCAGATATACAGATATATAGCATATATACAGATATATAGCAGATATACAGATATATAACATATATACAGATATATAGCATATGTACAGATATATAGCATATATACAGATATATAACATATATACAGATATATAGCATATATAGAGATATATAACATATATACAGATATATAGCATATATAGAGATATATAGCATATATAGAGATATATAACATATATACAGATATATAGCATATATACAGATATATAGCATATATACAGATATATAACATATATACATATATATAGCAGATATACAGATATATAGCATATATACAGATATATAGCATATATACAGATATATAGCATATATACAGATATATAGCATATATACAGATATATAGCATATATACAGATATATAGCATATATACAGATATATAGCATATATAGAGATATATAACATATATAGAGATATATAGCATATATACAGATATATAGCATATATACAGATATATATATATATATATGCAGATATATAGCATATATATAGATATATATATATATACAGATATATAGCATATATAGAGATATATAACATATATACAGATATATAGCATATATAGAGATATATAGTATATATAGAGATATATAACATATATACAGATATATAACATATATACAGATATATAGCATATATATAGATATATAACATATGTACAGATACATAGCGTCAACGACAGAGAATGAAGAGTGTCTGTTATCTGACGAAACACGATTTCACTAGGTGTGCATTGTGAAGAAAATGATGGATGGATAACTGTAAATCAATGTAGACAGCAGATGTTTGCAAACATCCCACCATTTTTGTTGAATGTATGTAATATGCATTTCATCTACTTTGAAAGGGGCGGTGAGGTAGCCTAGTGGTTAAAGCGTCAGGCCGAAGACCCGTGTTCGATTCCCCACATGGGTACAATGTGGGAAGCCCCTTTCTGGTGTCCCCCGCCGTGATATTGCTGGAATATTGCTAAAAGCGGCGTAAAAGTAAACTCACTCACTCACCCAACTACTTGAAAGGCTATAGCGATGCCATGGAAATAAACACCGGAACACTTATGAACATCCGGGTTATTTGTTTTTGTGTCAGGCCGTTGCAGTAAGCCTTATAAATGTCCCTGCCTGGCGCTCGGCATTAATGGGTACAACAAGGACTGGTCGGCTCGGAGTCAGTATAATGTGTCTGAGTGGGGTATTCATGCTTCACTGCGGCGTGGTATCTCAGTGGGCTAGCACTATAAAACCAGCTTAAGTCTGGGCTAGTACAAGCAGCCGCACATACACACACACACGCATGCAGTCGTCATATGAGCGAAATATTCTCAGGCACGACGTTACACTCAATTTCACCTCACCTCACCTCACCTTATAAATTAAGGAAGGGTTGTTTAAGTGATGAAGATCCGGGTTAGAATTGATCTTCTGTAACCCATTCTTGTCATAAGAGGCGGGAATTGGGTGGGTGTTCAGGCTCAATAACTTGGTTGACACATGTCATCATATCAGAATGGCTTAGATGGATGCTCATGCTGTTGATTACCGGATTGTCTGGTCCAGACTCGATTATTTACAGTGTTGTATATGAACTTGTATGTGTAAAGCATACTTCCCTTCATGCTGATTTAAAATAATACTGTGCTCACCACTCCAGTGTTAAAGGTAATTCATCTTCTATAATGTACTGAACAATACATCCAAGAGCTTAAAGAAACATCTACGATATACATTTTAATAGATTTCAATGACGTTTATAAATAATAAATGTTCGATGAGAAATGTTCATAATTCTATCATCAGTCTGAATATCATTTGTAACACAATATTCAGGTCAAGATAAGTCGTGGAGTGATTCCAGTTAGAGCAACTGGTCGCCATGTTCCTATGCGTGTTGTGAAACATTGTTAAATGGTTGCTTGGCTGTCATCGTAACCCGACAGCCTGGAATGTTGCAATTGGTCATCATATCGACCACTAGTTTTACACAACACAGAGGCGCTGCTATTAACACCAAACAACCCAAACTAATTCAACATCAGCCGGATATTAATAATTTCCAGGAAGGACAGGTGACTTATGGAACATATATAGTAAAACTACAGCAACAATGAAATAACGTATATTGTATCGTGTTACTATGCATAATATGGCTGGCACGTACATGATGGATGTCTTCTTTGCAAATGCAGGCGTCGAGGTTGGTGTCACAGGAGATATGTCCGTTGCAGTGGTTGCATTCAGAATTACACCAGCTGTCGCCATTGGTTGCTTCAGCGACACACCCCTTGGCGCACTCGTGGGATTGGGCATCTGAAACAAGGAGTGAGTGAGTTTGGTTTTTACGTCACTGTTAGCAATATTCCAGCTATATCACGGCGGGGGGACATCAGAAATGGGCTTAACACATTGTACCCATGTGGGGAATCGAACCCGGGTCTTCAGCGTGACGAGCGAACGCTTTAACCACTGGAGCTGCCCTACCGCTCCCTGAAACAAGGAATGTAGAGGGAGCATCAGACTTAACCAGGACTCGAACCCACGATAATAGGTTCCTTGTACGTATAAGGGACACAACTCCGCATATGCAATTGCGGGACCAAGTCATCAAGGCCATGTATGTAAAACCACATTTAAAATCAGAATCGAAACCGTCATTTGACAAAATCTAACATTTCAGTTTCATTTGAAGTCATGTTTTTTTTTGGACAGCAGGGTATTTCTGTTACGGCGTTCAAGTTTCATGTTAATAGATACCCGTACTGGCGGACGTCTTATAGTACAAATTGTTTTTTCCTTTTTGCGAAACCATGAAACCTACAAACAAAATCGGGGCGGTAGCCTAGAGGTTAATGCGTTCGCTCGTCACACCAAAGACCTGGGGTCGATTCCGTACATGGGTATAATGTGTGAACCCATTTCTTGTGTCCCCCGCCGTGATATTGCTGGAATATTGCTAAAAGCGGTGCAAAACCATACTCATTCACGCACTCACTACAAACATAATCAGGGGGATCTGGGATTCGAACCCAAACTCACTCTAAGGGAGGTAACTCTGAACAACGATACCGTACATAGAAGAAACATTATACTTGACGATCAATCAGTACTTTGAACTTTGAACAATTAATATAACGTTTTGCGTTATTCATTGCGAAAAGCTTCCAAGGGACACATTTTCTGAATAGCTCCAAGAGTGATGATTTAAATGAATATTAGAATATCCATGTACTTACAAGTGGTGGCCACCAGCAGGGCACACAGGGCGAGGACAACGAAACACTTCATGTTTCTGGATGATGTAGGGAATCTCTACGGCCGAGCGTCTTATATACTGGCTGGGTTATCGCTGTGGGTTAAAGAACGTAGGTGCGTCATATGTGGCCATAGTTTTCAGGAGCGTTTTCTTCCACGACACCTGAATAATCTACGACAGGTGGCTTTTGATGCAAGTGGCCTTTGTGGGCGTTTGTGCAGCCAGCGACTGCGATGTGAAGCATATCAAACATAGTTATACACGGCAAATCAGTTCTCTTGAAAATTGCGACTAACGTTAAAAGTTTGAGTGAGTGAGTGTGTATATTTTTACACCTCTTTTAGCAATATTTCAGTAATATCACGGCGGGGACGAGTGTGAAATTTTGTATTGTATTGTATTGTAATACTCAATTTTGCAGGAGTTTCGTATAAGTCGTGTGACACACTTGCGAGTGTAATAATTTCTTTATTGTCCATTTTATTCATGTACATTTGTGCAGTAAAACACGGTAAGCAAGTGTGACTGCCCTGTTCATTGACGTCACGTTCAATTGTTCAATGGTTGCTGGGCAAAAGTGATATGTGCACCCTTGCACATATCATATATATTACACTGGTTATGTTTCACCATATAATAAATAGAGAATACTACACGAGGTCTCATTACATACGAATTATACGAAACGAGTGTCCTTCCTATGGTATCTGACCGAGCGAAAGCGAGGTCAGAAACCATGAGAAGGTCACGAGTTTCGTATAATTCGTATGTAATGAGACCGAGTGTGGTATTTTATTTATTACCCACTCCTTACATGCATTGAATTGACAAAATAGCATATTTTTTGTTATTTTTATGGTTTCAAACCGAAACAGGTTTCATGAAGAGGTTGCGGAAGAATTTTGTTCTGTAGTACACTTTTTTGCATGACGTCACACTGTAATGACGTCACTACGCCTTGCTCGTCTGCCCCTTTGGTAACCGACGTCACGATGCATGTCAGTTGTCACCGCCTCGTACATAGAGAATACTACACGAGGTCTCATTACATACGAATTATACGAAACGAGTGTCCTTCCTATGGTATCTGACCGAGCGAAAGCGAGGTTAGATAACATAGGAAGGTCACGAGTTTCGTATAATTCGTATGTAATGAGACCGAGTGTGGTATTTCATTTATTACCCACGTCTTACATGCATTTAAATTAACAAAATAGCGTATTTTTGTTATGTTTTTTGGTTTCAAACCGAAACCGGTTTCATAAAGAGGTTGCGGAAGAGTTTTGTACTGTAGTACAATGTTTGCATGACGCCACACTAATGACGTCACTGCCATGGTAACCGACGTCACGATGCATGTCAGTTGTCATCGCCTCGTACAGCCTCCTACAGTAAACTACTCCGTTGCACCTCGTTTCTTGGTTTCCAGTTGCTTCATTCGGCTAACATCACTGGTGGAAACATTGCGTTTATGTTTTTCGACAGATATAATGTCTCAGTTCGTCTCACAATTAAACAGCGACACAGCAACGTTCGCAATGTTTACATTCCCACAATGCATTTAAGTTGTAGAATGAATGAATTCACGTGTTTGTTATGAATGAAAAAATAGTTACGTCAGAATGTGACCTAATTGAGAGGTCATCGGTTATCCAATCAAATCGTTAGAATTTCAGGTCAAGTCGTTACGACACATGTCAATGCGATACGACACTCGTGTGACGTACGAGATTAATATGCAACTACCCATACGTTGACCACGTGGGTAATAAAGCCTCCTACATTATACTACTCCGTAGCACCCCGTTTCTTTGTTTGCAGTTGCTTCACTCGGCTAACATCACTGGTGGAAACTTTGCGTTTATGTTTTTCGACGGATATAATGTCTCAGTTAGACACACATTTAAACAGCGATTCGGCAACGTTCGCCATGTTTACATTCCCACAATGCATACAAATTGTAGAATGAATGAATTCAAGTGTTTGTTATGAATGAACAAGTAGTTCCGTCACAACGTGACCTAATTGAGAGGTCATCGGTTATCCAATCAAATCGTTGGATTCTCAGGTCAAGTCGTTACGACACGGGTCAACGCGATACGACACTTGTGTGACGTACGAGATAAGTATGCAACTACCCATACGTTGACCACGTGGGTAATAAAGCAGCATATGTTATCAGATTTTGTTCTCGGTAGACGCTGTTCATGCTTTCTCAGTATTTTGAACCAATATTTTATGCAACGAAGGGAGAGTTTATATATAGTGGGTATCTTCCACATTCTCCATACACCATATAGTTTGGTGTTGTAATGTTAACATTAAGGAACTTCTTACATGCCAATAGATGTATTGTTTTAATCGGTTCAAGGTCTGAAAACCCCATAGTTCTGCCCAATACAAAAGCATTGGTTGAATCTGTGCATCGAAAAGTTTAAAAAACATCTTTGGTGTTATTGGCGCTAATGTATTGAGTGATGAAAGTAAATACACCACACTCCGGCACAGCGATGACATAACATAACATCACTGCCACAGGCAAAGGACAAGGTATGATAAAGGCCCTTTTTGGCCCACAAAATTTCATGATATTCAAAGTTCTACAACATGATAATTTTAGCATAAAAAACGCTAAATAAATTGTTGAAATTACCTCCATATGTTTTTTTTATACGTTTTAGTGCTGTTTTTTTCCTCTTTGAAGACCTCAAAGTTAACCTATTTTACAATATCTTCGAAAAACCTGCATTTTCATATTTTCAGAGTGATAAAAAAGTGTGAGCAAAAGCTTGACCCATCCCAATTTTTTCACCACACATGAAGAGAGTAAATAAGAATGCACTCCTAAAAAATTGTGGTGGGTCACGCTTTTGCTCATATCAAAATGTTTAAAAAAGTACATTTTTTCTGTTGTATGAAATTGCCCCAAACAACATCTCAAAAATAAACATTGGCGTAAAGTAATATCTCTGAAAACTATTCGTCACATTTACACAACTATACCATGATTCATTACTATTTTGAATGTTTTAGAGCACTAAAATGAACTTATCAAACATGTTTATTAACAAATTTCAATATCGTAAGGGGCTCTCAAGGCTGATTACTTTGAGGTAAACAAGGGTAGTTTTTTGGAGACCCTGTTGATCACTGCTGGAAAAATAAGAAGACATCAGAAGATTTTTTCAAAATATGATCAGGCAGCATTCTAAAGGTGAGAATCTTTGTAATTATGCTAGAATTTTATCATATTTGTTCTATCATCTGTTTAGCAAACCCCTCTGTGTCACCTGTCACTGTCAAATAACACTGGCATTCAACTGGATGTAACTGTGTATAAACATACACATTTTAACAAAAATAATGTACCTTGATGTTTTCTAGGATATATCAGGCTACATTTAATATTGTTAGAATAAGAACATTGTATCAAGGTCTAGCAGATTATGAAAAGCAAGCAGACGTCAAGTGACACATTGTTGCAAAGTGTAATATATAAGCTTAAAGTGAAAAAGAGTAACAGTAGAATCTGTAGCCTAGTGGTTACAATGATGGCCTCTTAATTTTTTTTTTTCTGTTATCAGACATTCAGGTTCAAATCCTAATGTTTTTTTTCTTTTCTTCTTTTTTTTTCTTCAAAAGTTAAGTTAAACATTGTAAATTGGCTGACAAAACTTGTGCACGTGAAATACAAATTTTGTAAAAAAATCTTAAGTTTGGTAATGTAAGTTACACTGTTCAAACAAACTTGAATTAACATCATGTAAATCTTGTTTAAGCCTGAAGATACTGACTTTTCCACTTTGTTCCCACACAATAAAGAACCTGCAGAAGGTAAGCATTGTTTCAAAATGTTAGTATGGTAAATATTTACAAACTGTCCAGAGCTGTTAATTAGTGGTGCACTGATCAAACAAATAATTAGTTTATGGATATTTTGTGGGCTGCCAGTCAATTACCGATAACCAAATCACATAATCAATTAAAGCGTTCACTCTTTCTTCTTAAAAATATGTTTACAGAATCAATGACTATTGGTTTCAATTGTCATATTAAAACTGAGGACTGATTACCTTTGTTTTCATGTGCTCTAACAGTTGTATTTATCTTATATCTATAATTGATCAAACAGTGGCCTCAACAATTGATTATGCTTTTGGAGGTCAATTCCCTTCCCTATATAACTACACTATTGACATGTTTAGCATTAGAAAAATTAGAAAGCACCAATTTCTTGAACATAATGATAATTCTTTTATGATTTCAAATATTTGTTTTCAGATAAGAGAAATCTGCTTGGACTGATTTCAGGAGTGTCATTTCATGAACTGGAAGGTGGAAGGTAAGCATAATATGAGTGCTAAACAATAACCAATATTTTTTTCTTCAATTTTCTAATTTAATGTGACAGAATTTCAGAAATACTGATGTCTCAGTGGTCATTTAATCTGCATAAGCCTTCAAGGCCAGACTACTGACATTTGAAAATAAAAAAGTAATGTTACCCTTGAATAGATTTATAATATCAAAGTTTTAAAACAGAATTTTCTTTTGATATAAAGTCATCTGTTTTCAGTTGAGAGAAGATCTGGGTATGGCAGACACCAAAACAATATGCCAGTTTCCAGCAACTCTAGTGATACACGGTTGAATGCTGCAGTTCTTGACAGTGATTCAGAAACTGATTCAGAGATTGATGACCATGTGGATGAAGAGTGAAAGTGGATGTTTTATATATCTTTGCAGTGAATGAGTTGTGAATAATTACTTGTTGAAGATTTTTGAATACTGACTTTTAACACTTACTTGGTGTCAAAATCAAGCTGTGCCAAGAATGTAATTTCACCTGAAATAGGCCCCTTTGAGGTCAAAACCTGTGCTTTTTAGTGCAACATGATTGGTTATTATAACAACATGTTGAGAATGAGATGTTTACTGTATATATTTGCATGAATGTTGTAAATACTGACTTTTAACACTTACATGGTGTTAAAATCAAGCTGTGCTGAGACTGGATAGTCAAAAGACGAACCTTCTTCTCCACGTAGATGGCCTGCATGAGAACTGCTTCCTCTCTCGCCCTCTTCGTCATGTTGCCCTTCAATTTCCTCGCTGCAACTTCTCCAGTGTTGAGTGGGTGTGTGGTCCTGACTCTTACCTTGTTGCCTCGAGCACCTTCGTCAAACTCCACTTTCTCATCCATGTTGCAGAATCATATTGAATTTCTGGTGACATGGCTATTTTATAAGAGCAATCTATCCTACTTCAAAACTTCTCTTAGTAGCTGTTAATCCAGTTACAGGGGAGTGAGTACAGTTAACGGAACAGCTAGGCGAGGGACGAGGGGTACTAATTAGTGGCTTGAAACAACAGGGGCTAGGGGGACGGGGGCTGGAGGAATGACGTCGTGAAAAGTTGTTACTGTATTCGAGTACAAAACTATCCACTAACACAAACAAACAAGGGTGTAGCAGGGCCAAAATATATTTAATATAAAACTATAACCTCTATTTATGCCTTATTATCGTTGATATATTAAAAACTTATAAAATATTGACATATGATAGACAAAAAATATATATATAAGGGACTTAAATAGTAAGTGAGTGAACAAGACTTGGTTTTAAAGCCACTACGATCAGTGTTCGAGTTAGAATCTATGTAGCGCCGTTTTTCGGGGGATGACACCAGAAATGCGCTTCACACATTGTGCCTATGCGGGGAATCGATCCCCTGTGTCTTCGGCGTGACGGGCAAGCGCTTCAACCACTAGGCTACCCCATTTTGTTTATGCAAAACAGTTCAATATAGGCGGATCCAGAGGGGGGTGCGGGGGTGCGCAACCCCCTTTAGTCCTGAAAGTTTATTAATTGACCATTGACGCTCTCGTGGAATTGATGTGTGCACCCCCATTTCTCAAAGGTGAGCATGCTATAAGTTTATTAATTGACCATTGTACGCAGGTAGTCTTAGTGTTAAGGTTGTGGAATTGAAGTGTGCACCCCCATTTCTCAACAAGTGAGGCATGCTAGTATAGCCGGGTAAAATACGCATATAAAGCCTTACTATTAAACATGATCTGGGAGAGATAGCTACAGCACCTGTAGTAAATAATTTTGGAACGGCAGCACGACATTTGACAAAGTATCAGTATTTTAAATTTCTTACCAGGGACAGTCGGGTTTATGAAAGAAGTGCTTTGAAATAACTTCTTTACCGTTGACACGGTCCTCAGCAAAAGCATTGTCAAATGACGAGTCTATATATCTGCGGGGCAAATATCATAGTTGAGAACATAAAATCATTCGCATGTTTAGTCGGGAGCTTCGATCGTTGCCATATTTTCTAGCGGTTATCGGAAAGAAGGCAGAAGCAAGGATAGCCTCCCTTGCGCCACGTTACTTCCGTAAACAAAGATGACCGACAACACGTTTGGAACGGATTTAAAGCTCTATTCCATGCTCAAGTTGCATCATGCTTTGTGGTACTGTGTATTCCTGGTGTGCATTCAGTGTGAAGTGTGTAATAAACGGACCTTCGTGGGATATTATCTTCAACAAGGCAACGTTTGCCTCAGAAACTCTTCATCTGTTCGAAGTAACAACACTTTCGACAGATTAATCTCTTCATTTCAAACATGGAAATTCGCACCACGTCAGATTCTACACGAAACATTTCCCATAGACCCCGAAAAAAGGAATTACGTAAGACAGGTGAAAAATGTGTTATTTTCTGAGGTCAAACCAGTTTCATTCCAGACTCAAACAAAACTAGTAGCGATATCGGACGACGCTTTGAGAGATATCTTGGATCTGGATACAAATATTTCTACTGAAGCACAGTTTACTGATTTTGTCAGCGGGGCGTACCTCCACCCAGGGGCCACGCCCCTTTCCCACAGATATGGGGGTCACCAGTTCGGGAACTGGGCAGACCAGCTCGGTGACGGTCGGGCAGTGATGTTGGGCGAGTATGTCAACAGGGGCGGGGAGAGGTGGGAACTGCAGCTGAAGGGGTCGGGCCTCACCCCCTACTCACGCCGTGGGGACGGAAGGGCTGTGCTCAGGTCTTCCGTCAGGGAGTTCCTGTGTAGTGAGGCAATGCATTATCTAGGTGGGTGTACACATTGAGCTCGATCATTTAAATATGAAGATTTGTTAACGCCGCATAATTCTAAATCCTGGGGGAATACACAGTTAGAACTGGTTCCCAACAACAACATATGCGTGTCCAAAAGAGCTGAGAAGACTTAATAGCCGTATTTACGATTAAACCCGGAAACAACCAAACGAAGAAACAAACAAACAAAGAAATAATGCAAACAAATGATTCAAACAAATAGATAATGAAATCAAATCTTATAAATATATTCTTAGAAACTACTAACTTCACAGAATATGTATTTTATCATTGAATTAATTTTGCATCCATTTTGCAGGTATACCCACAAGTCGTGCTGCAGCGCTTGTCGTAAGCGACGACCCCGTCACGCGAGACCAGTTTTATGACGGTCACCCCCAGACTGAGAGGGGTGCTATTGTACTTCGCCTGGCTCGAACATGGTTCCGGTTCGGTTCTCTCGAACTGCTGGCATACAAAGGAGAAACAGACCTGTTGAAACAGTTAACTGACTTCGTCATACAGAGTTACTTCCCTTCTGTTGACTGTGCTGATGGATCCAAATACCTTGCATTTTATAGTGAAGTTGTCACCACTACAGCTGATATGATCGCCAAATGGCAAAGCGTTGGTTTTGCTCATGGTGTTTGTAATACGGATAACTTTAGTCTTTTATCGATCACGATCGATTATGGTCCGTTTGGTTTTCTGGATGAATATAATCCCAAATTTATACCCAACACATCAGACGACGAAGGGATGTACAGTTACGAACGGCAACCAGATGTTGGGATGTTCAATTTGAATAAATTGAGACAAGCTCTGCACCCGTTATTAACCGACAAACAAAAAGCTGAAATGCAGAGTGTTTATAACGGATATGCAGATATCTACAAAAATAAATTCATGGAGATTTTCCGGAAGAAATTGGGGCTGATAAATTCCGATAGTGATGATGAGCAGCTGGTTGCGGTATTGTTAAAAATGATGGAGGATACGAAATCGGATTTCACTATGACATTTAGACAACTCGGAGAAATATCTCTATTTGATATGGATAACAGCAATATTGACGTCAAATACTGGGCTTTGAGAACATTACAAAAACACGAATGGTTCTCAAGATGGGTTCAGATATACACGGAAAGAACAAAGTCGACCAATATTTCCGAAATCGAAAGACAAACTTTAATGAATAGTAGTAATCCGAGATATGTTTTGCGAAACTGGATAGCTCAGAATGCAATATCTCTTGCCAATAGAAACAAATTTGAGCAAGTACGGAAAGTGTTGCGTGTTCTCAGAAATCCATTCACATTCCAACAAGAGGCTGAGGAGAGTGGCTTTGCTGACCCGCCGCCATATTGGGCCGGTTCTCTTAAAGTCAGTTGTTCGTCATGAATGTAAAACTTTGGCATAAATATCAATTTGTTATGTTTTCAAAACACGGTGTACAGTTGTTGTTTTTTGTAAGTGTTGGATACATGAGTGGGCGGTGGGGTAGCACAGTAGTTGAGGTGTTCGCTCACCCGCCTGAAGACCTTTGTTCGATTCATGACGTGTGGACCCAGTATGTGTAGAGGCCGTTTGTATTATACGCGATGATCGTAATCGTAGCTAGAACAATACTGTAAGTAGTGTGAAATTCTCTCATACAAATATCCAGATTTGTTTTCGCGATATTACTCCAAACACCGTTTGCCTTTCCAGTTGGAACTGTTCCCCAACATTCTGAGACGACTTAATGGACATGCTTGTCAGGTTCTGTGACTTGGTTTAAGAATTGTACCCTCAATGAATGTGTCGTTCACAGTTCAAACACCGGTTTGTCTGGTCCAAACTCCATTACTTACATTCTGACGTGATGCATCTTGAATATTGCAGAGTAATGCGTTAATCAACCAACTAACTAAAGCACAATTCAGGTCGATGATTATGTAACATTTCACAATCATATGATCCGATTCGATTGTTTGATTGATTGTTGTTTAACGCCACACTCAGCAATATTCCAGCTATATGGCGGCGGTCTGTAAATAATTAAGTCTGGACCAGACAATCCAGTGATCAACAGCATCAGCATCGATCTACGCAATTGGGAACCGATGACATGTTTCAACCAAGTTTGCGAGCCTGACCACCCGATTCCGTTAGTCGTGTTGCTAAAAGCGGCGTAAAAATAAACTCACTCAATGTAGAAACGCCTGAAATGTGGAAGATTCAAGTAATATTAGGAAAAACCCATGAACTGATTTGGACACAGTGTAGGGCGCTGTGACATAGATGTGATATTGCTGATTAGACAGTGTAGGACGCTGTGACCAAGACGAGATATTGCTGATTAGACACAGTGTAGGGCGCCGTGACATAGATGTGATATTGCTGATTAGACACAATGCAGGGCGCCGTGACATATGTGATATTGCTGATTAGACACAGTGTAGGACGCTGTGACCAAGACGAGATATTGCTGATTAGACACAGTGTAGGGCGCCGTGACATAGATGTGATATTGCTGATTAGACAATACAGTGTAGGGCGCCGTGACATAGATGTGATATTGCTGATTAGACACAGTGTAGGGCGCCGTGACATAGATGTGATATTGCTGATTAGACACAGTGTAGGACGCTGTGACCAAGACGAGATATTGCTGATTAGACACAGTGTAGGGCGCCGTGACATAGATGTGATATTGCTGATTAGACACAGTGTAGGGCGCCGTGACATAGATGTGATATTGCTGATTAGACACAATGTAGGGCGCCGTGACATAGATGTGATATTGCTGATTAGACACACAGTGTAGGGCGCCGTGACATAGATGTGATATTGCTGATTAGACACAGTGTAGGGCGCCGTGACATAGATGTGATATTGCTGATTAGACACAATGTAGGGCGCCGTGACATAGATGTGATATTGCTGATTAGACACAGTGTAGGGCGCCGTGACATAGATGTGATATTGCTGATTAGACACAGTGTAGGACGCTGTGACCAAGACGAGATATTGCTGATTAGACACAGTGTAGGGCACCATGGATGGTGGCCGTCTAATCAGCAATACATAGATGATAGCTGTCACGGCGTTTCATGTGACATAATTAATATCGCTGATAAGACATCTATGTCACGACACAATCAGGGGCGTGACGCTAATCAGCAATATGTAGGGCGCCGTCGTCTTTGTAGACACAAGCAGGGTTCATAGATTACACTTAGTCTAATCAGCATAGATGTGATATTGCTGATTAGACACAGTGTAGGGCGCCGTGACATAGATGTGATATTGCTGATTAGACACAGTGTAGGGCGCCGTGACATAGATGTGATATTGCTGATTAGACACAATGTAGGGCGCCGTGACATAGATGTGATATTGCTGATTAGACAGTGTAGGACGCTGCGACCAAGACATAGATATATTGCTGATTAGACACAATGTAGGCCATGCACATAGATGTGAGTGCATAGATGCAGGGCACAGCATGATTATTGCTGATTAGAGACAATGTAGGGCGCCGTGACATAGATGTGATATTGCTGATTAGACACAATGTAGGGCGCCGTGACATAGATGTGATATTGCTGATTAGACACAATGCAGGGCGCCATGACATAGATGTGATATTGCTGATTAGACACAGTGTAGGGCGCCGTGACATAGATGTGATATTGCTGATTAGACACAGTGTAGGGCGCCGTGACATAGATGTGATATTGCTGATTGGAGACATTGATGGGCGCCATGGCATACCTGTGATGTCGCTGATAAGACACAGTGTAGGGTGCCATGCCATGGCCGCGATAGTGTCTCTTCCATACCGAGACTTAACGAATACAGGACATAAGGAACTGCAAGTGTGGGGTGGTGTCACTTACAACACGCGACTTTTGTCATTTATGTTATTTTTGTGATGTACATGTATATATACTATCCCCAAAAAGAAACGCATAGGCCAGAAATCTGTTGTGAAAATGTTGTATTCTAAACATGTATAACTCGTCCACGAATAGACTTTAGTGCATGAATTTTTACACCAGTTTAGAAGAAGGTAATGTCTGTATGGATATTTGTAGATAACTGAGACGTTGAGCGCGATGATGACGACGTAGCACGGTCCCGACGTCGGATCTCCTGGCTCTCAGACCAATCTCTTTCAACCTCTTCCGTACAGTTTGACCGGATATCCTCCGAAGTCCAGGCACTCTGGCTGCTGTGCTGTCACCCGTGGCAGTACGATCACGCAAATGTAGTACCCGGATGTACCGATCTTAGGCTGCAGTGGTAACTCGAGGTCTGCCTGTACGGGGACGGTCATTCGTTATACCTGTTTGGTTGTAACGAGCTGCAAGCCGTGATATCGTGCTCAGACTAACATTCAGACGCCTGGCAACAGAAGATTGGAAATCTCCAGCGTGCATTCTTTCAATGGCGATGTTCCGTGTCGCAGTGTCAAGACGTGGCGTAGTGATTTGACCTTGAAACTCCTTCAAAACGAATGCCAATTTGCGAAAGTAATCTGGATTTTTATTGCCAGACAGTGCATGCTCTTTGCTGCACAATTTCAACTGGAAGGTGATTTCTGTTGCGTTGTGGCGATGCCTTTTAAATCCTTGTAAGAAACTCTACAAAATCAACATTTTCAAGTAAAATCGATTTTTTACTTGTGCAGTTGTGTAAAATCATGTTATCAACACTTTTGTTACATATTTTGACTATTGTTTGAACACAATAGGTAATTAATAGATTTTTTAAAATGCAAATCGCCTATGCGTTTCTTTTTTGGGATAGTATAGCTTCCACATCTTTTGACAAACTATTTGAGAAATGAAATTCACGACAAATCTCACTTAAATTGACCCTGCAGAAAGATACACTTTATCAAAGATCATGACATGTAGGACAAGTTCCAAATATACCTTTCATGTCAATCTGTGGACTTGATACAGTTTATTCTCAGTGGAGGAGACGTATTTCTGTCTCCAGTGTTGTGACATTTCAGAAATGCCCCAAACTGATCTATCTGTGTACACGGTTCTCGTGTTAAACGGTATATATAGTCCACTGCTGTGGGCGCTTTTAAATGCCATCTCGTATCTTTGATTGTAAACTATTTCTGTACAAAGCTATGCATTTAAGATCGCTGGCTTTAACAGATTTATTTTCATGCGTGTGTTTGCCAGCTGTGGGCTTCCAATGTCATAGATATTTTCGGAGGAATGCTCACGTTAACGCTTGTGCTCTTTTACCTAATGTGAGGAATGAACTCATTAACTTAAACATAATAGACGTCTTCACTCAATGTTATCTGTCCGCTTATTGGTCAGTTAACATTTACGGGCTTCGTTTGACGTCAGTGCCCGCTCATACAAAGGGAAGCTGATTTTGGAAACACTTCAATCTGTATATGTTACTTAATTAACGTTTCTTTCGTTGTCCCAAATACTGACTCAGACAAAAGAATAAATATTGTGGAACTGGGTTCTCCCCCCAGGAAATACATGGCGAGTGTTAGCCATGACGTTGTTACAGTGCATTTCTTACATCGCTGAGTTAGGGTGTCATTTAATTGTGGTTGAATCGAGAGAACTGTATTATAGCTTTTAAGTTATGGTAAACTATGCATCCTTCTTTCGAACCTCGACGTTGCATAATTGAAATGATTGTTCGAGTATTTTTAGAAAACCTCATTAGACAGTTATAGCTTCTGAGCAAAAGACACGTTTGAGTTATATCACTGTGTGGCAATTGTTGCGGGTCCAGGAAATGTTCAACTCATGAAATCTATGAGCAAAGACCGACAAACCTAGAAAATAACTTGGGAAATGAGTGAGTGAGTAAGTTGAGTTTTACGCCGCACTCAGCAATATTTCAGCTATATGGCGGCGGGCTGTAAATAATCGAGTCTGAACCAGACAATCCAGTGATCAACAGCACGAGCATCGATCTACGCAATTGGGAAACGATGTCACGTGTCAACCAAGTCAGCGAGCCTGACCACCCGATCCCGTTGTGATCCCCTCTTACGACAAGCATGGATTACTGAAGATCAATTCTAACCCGGATCTTCACGGGTCACTTGGCGAATGTGGTATTCGAAACCACAATTATACATTTCTGTCGCGCCTAAGGGACGCAACTCTGTACTCGAGACGTCAAAGTGACCAGTAAGGGTAGATAACTATCTATGTAAAGCTACAAAACACTCTTAAGTTAGGTACTCAAGTACTCAGGTGATCGAGTGTACAGCGGATCAATCGCCATGGTTACTAAATCGTTGTCCATCAGGTATGTTTTCCATCTCGAAACGTGTAAGCAAACAAAAACAAATCAGTGCAAACATGTATGTACAAGACATACAAAATATTTTATTGATATGAAAAATTAACTTTTTCGTAGTTTGTAATAGTTTTGTATTTCCTTAGTTAAATTCTGTATATAATTTCCGATTGTCGATCGCATGAAGGACGTATATGGAACTTGAGGTAACACCTGAATCTTTGGTCGTTTGAAGTTGCCGTGCGCGTTGGATACCATGCACACGAGTTCCGGGTCACTGACGTGCATGTCCAGGAAGTTGAACAGCCTTCTGGAGGTCTCGGTACTGCATAATGAGGAGTGGCCCATCGAATTTCAGCCAATCAGTGTTCATGTCCACCCACCCACGTGACTGGAGAGAGACGTACGTTAGCGAGCCTGTAAACCAATAGATTTAAATCAGTGGTGTAACCAAATCGCGTTAACATGGATACTCGTCATTAACATCTTGTAAACCCTTAATTGCCAGCTCTTTACCTGCCAAAAATACCACCAGTGTCATCGTTATTACGTTAGAGGGCCACCCGATTATGTTGCTGTCAGGTGATTTGAGAGAGAAGAGTCTGGCGTGGCGTCTCAACACGGTGAGCCACGTATTTACAGACATAGCCGAGTACTTCACCACCTCACAGCCATGTGTATAGCTGTTTGTTCTGCCACAGACTAACGCCGGTTCTAGCCCGATGAGATACCAAGCCGCTGTTCACGATAGGTACCCCATTCAGACACTGTGTGGTAATTCAGAATCCACAGGTCCACTAAATTCTTTGAGAGGCAGTTAGAAGTTGGAGTAGTAAGGAAGGATCCATAAATGGTCATACTTCGTGGCAAAACCGTTGTTTTATTCCCTTTAGGCCAAACTTGGTAGCATGTGGCATATTTCTTCTTTCTGGACTTTACACACTCCCAGCAGATGCTCTGTCCACAAGTCTACTGGGGTTGTCAGACTCCCAAAGTCCCACAAAGGTATACATCTCATTAAACACAACTGGTTGTACGACACTTCAGATGATTCCCTAAGGTCTCGACAAGACTTCTAATTGAAAGAAGTACAGTGATGACTTGGCTTAACTACTGTCTCCTTAAACGAGAAGACAGGCGGTGGCTGAGATCTCGGAGGCTGACTAAACAACCCATTCATTCATTCATTCATTCGGTCGGTCATTTGTTCTCACTTTTGCGAAATGAAACAATGTGCAGTGAACCGGTTGAAAGCCTTGAAGAAAACGTGTCATATGAGTAAAATATACATCCCATCCAAAATATTTATACTTGATCCCGACTGATATAGATAACCCGATGATTAATGCAGGCAATGGGTAAGTCCCAGGTTCGATTCTCGAATGGGTACGGTGGTTGTAAACCTATCTGTTGTCGGATATCCCATGCCCGTCCTTAACCTACCTTTGGCAAAGTCATGTGGAAGGGCATGACCTCTGTGACCCCCATTACGCCGGTTGAACTCCGCCAGGAGGGAGTCGAAGGGGTCCTGGATGAGGAGCACGGCACGGGAGAACGCCCGGCGATGTTCACTCCCCCACTCGTGGGTCTTCACCATCACCACCCGGCCGTCTCTCACCCCCTCCCCGGGGAAGCCATGCTGCTTCAGTGTGACGTCATTGTACACACTTCCGGTTGCAATACCTGCAAGGTGAAGGTCAAAATGAAAATAATTTCCCATGCAATAGTGATCGTTTTAGACGCACCCAATACCCTACCGTTACCACTGTTCATAACAACAGTGAGTGAGTGAGTGAGTGAGAGCGCGTGCTCGTTTCCATTATGTGAAAGGTGAATAATCTGCAGCGGGACGACAATAAATTTACATCACAGTTGGTTTGTCTCCATATTAACCATTTTTTAGTTTACAACAGGTACAACTAGCAAGTTCCAGAGGCAGAGGAATTGGTGATATCATTTGATTGTGATGTCATGGCGACGATCTGCACAGAACTGTGATTCATTTCCACTGAAGTCTCCGAGGCATTGCTTGATCTCACTCAAACAATACCTCCTGTTGAATCCAGTTGGGTTTTTTAAAAGGAGAAAAATGGTTTACATTGTGTTCTTGAAGGTTCATTATAGGTATATAAGAGAGACAGTATTTACATGTTTTGTTTTGTACTGCTAGGACACGTTGACATTTGTCAAACAGGGTCACGGTGATACCAGAATACAGCTCTTGTTGTGTTTGCTATCGATCTTTCGCATGATAGCGTCCTTAACGTCGAGGGTCAAGGCCAACGCGTTTAAACTCAATGAAGTTATTTGGAAGGTCATTTATTTCGTGATTTACCTCAGAGACGTGATCCCGGGCGTCTGAAATACATTGTGAAGGAAGAAACGCATATTTTGACTTGGTGCAAGGATAACGGAAACCCTTGTCATCAGCTCCATCGATCCCATGGCCGACTTCAATTTTAGGAGATAGAACGAAGACCGAGGGCGCGGGACGCGTTTATGTACATCCTAATCTTTATATTGAGTGGGGAGATCACTGGAATGATATTTATTCATCGATTTTGCATGATGATGTGGTTCTCATGTCGTCTTTATTGTGATCTAAGCCTGAGGGCCATTGGTTATATGCACACGCGTCCATTAAACGTACTCCAAGGCGTGGTAACAGACAGTGAGATTCCATATCAAAAGTGTTTCCATTCTTCAAATAAACCTTGCCGATGGCTGCTTTTTGTCCACAACTTGCGTTCGATTAAGTGTTGGGCCGAACCAGCTGGAGATCTGTCGGTGGGTCATGCTTGAGATGCAGATATTCTGCTAGTGTTAGAAAGGCATTTGAACCTGGAGAGTGTATTGAATAATGTTTAATGGATAAGGTGCCGTGTTTACCAGACTTCATGTCGTGGTATGTAGCTTGCAATATGGTAATATTAATGTGGGTCTGAAACGTCTGTCAATATATCAGTGAATTTGTAAGACGAATAACGATAACGAGATAGTTGAAGTTTGTTATTCATTATTCGACATTCGAGGTTTACCAGTACCAGGTTCACGAGCGTGATATCTGTAAAGGTGTCTGATATTCCTCCAGTATGCACCAGGGCTCTGAAATCTATATATATTGGTGGACGAAAAGAAAGCATTTTGCTCTTCAGCAGTGCTGTTTGACAAACGAAATAGTTTATGAATCTTCATTCAGGAGTATTTTTAATCGTACAATAAGTGTCTTTTTAATGTATGGCTAGAAGGCCGGGTGGGACAACTTAGGAATGGCCAGCGAGTCCTAACTTGACACATAGAAGGAAGCGAGCTACAAAGACATATTTTATATCATTGGAAAGATCTCGAGGAGATGAACTCAAAAAGTTCATGTGCCAGTGCGCGCACGTGTTCATAAGCTCACAAATGGGCTCTGAAAATGCATTTCTGCAGAAATTACTGGCAGAATTAATTTTTCCGCAGAAATTTCTGGCAGATTTTTTTTTTCCGCAGAAATTTCTGGCAGAATTTTTTTTCCCGCAGAAATTTCTGGCAGAATTTTTTATTTCACTACCAGAATTATCTTAATTGAAAAATATTAGACACCATTTTAGGATAATTCAATATGGACTTTATTTAAATGATGTTACTTTCTCCTGTAAACAACTTCAAGTTGGAGGGGATAATGGTTCCCAGAAGTAGATCGCCGCACAAATCTTACAAGGCATATTTTAACATCTTATCAAGACGAAATGAAAATAAAAATAATATGGTGATTTTTTATACATCTTTTATTCACGTTCTGTATAACATGAGTTTCACTGGACGAAGTTACAGTCATTTCATGTTAGACATGAGCCCTGTTGCCAAATGTTTCAGAGATAGATCCTCTCGGAGAAATATGTGTCCTATATATATATATATATATAAATATTTGTCAGGGTTGAGATTGCGATCTGATCGGAGATTCTACCAGTAGAGACTTCGCAGTCTTTACCAGTATCCTACTAGTAGAGATTGAAATCGGATCCTACCTGTCAGATCCGATTCTACCAGTACAATTTCCAATTTCCAAATTCAACTGGTAGAAACCCTGATTGTTCTGTAGGCAAACAACACTTTATTTGCTGAACAATAATATTCATTTGTTATGCATGTTATTTTAATATGTGAAAAATGTAAAGAAATTCAAATAATTCCATATCAATGTATCTCACTTTAATACAAATTGCATTAATTGATAATGTCCTAATCATGACCATTTTGTTGATACAAACTATGGTTTCACATATGAAAAAATCATATGTAGGATCAGAATGGAGCTTCCACTGGTAGAGATTGCAATTGCATAGGTTATTCTATATAATAAGTTTCTACCAGTACAGACTCCGCTTGCAATCTCTACCCTGGCATATATATCATCTCTCTATATATACATTGTATATAGTTTAGGTGAATTAATTCATGTATTCAAATCATTGAACGCTTATTATTAGCATATATTCTGAACAACATGAAAAACCCTCAGTCTTTTCCTATAAATATAAATGCATTCAATATGTTTGGACACATACTAGATACATAATAACAATATTTGATCATTTACATATTCCTAGAAATGCCTCCATCAACACGCTCAACATGACCAGCGTACCGAACTGAGATGATAAACAATACCTAAGCGACAATGTATCACTGTTCAAAGTGACAATACCCGAGAAAATCTAATTGTTTTCACACCTGATAATTTGTTGTTTATGGGGCTGTCCCTACAAGCGGCCACCGTCCGGTTCGGTTGTCCCTGGTGGCCACAGCAATTAACAATTGCGTAATCCAGAGAGCGGCCACTCAGGGGAAAACACCAAAACAATGTCGGGTGGTGCCGCATGGACAATACACGTCTTTTGGGTTCTATCCAGTAGGTTTTATCGGTTCAGTTAAACACCAGATGATGATATTTTGTTGATTGTAGGAAGACATTAACAGAGAACTTTGTAATGAAACATACATTGGGTCCGCACAATTAAATTTCACAAGATATAACTTTATAAATATTCTCTTTCATGTATTCAAAATACTTTTTTCTAAACGATGCATAGTTTGATAGTTCATGCATGTATATTGTGGTATTACACAAATATGATATTAAGCAGCATGCGCAAACATATTTAAGTCATATGTCTGCACCCCCAAGTACTTACAATGTCGTATCGGAAATATTCATTGTCCTGCAGCAACAACAGGTGTGCATTGTCTGCCGATTTCAAATAACAATATCAACCGGCATACCATGCAGATTTTATGTGGTACAGGAAAAGGTAGGCAACGGCTCAGTGTCCAAGCAAACATATGTTGCTGGGTAATCTACGATAAGGGTTACTATAATTCATTGCAAATGACAAAACTCTATTAGAGAGGGGGTAATCATAATTATCAAAAGGAGCAGGTGCCCACTCTTTGCACAGATCAGACTTTACAGGGAATAAGTAAAACAACATGTAGGCGTGCATCAAAGGGATTAACAGCAACAACTATAGGATAGGGTAATAAAGCAGTGACAACAGGGGGGAAGTCAAATGTCCAAGAGGTAGAAAATATACATGGCTGGAATGCTCTGCTAAGTTGTTGCTATCAGTTCATTGTATGCAGATGGGATGAGATATCCTTCATCTCTGTTGATGGAGGGCTTGTGTCCGCGGATTTGAACTGCTTAATCCATGTTGATGTATATATAAGTCTGCTACAGCACCTCAGTCTCGCTTGACGACGGTATAATAATCTATACTGAAACGCCGCATCCTATATAATATAGACGTTGTCATCCATGAAGCGAAAATGTGTTGAAGGAACGATATGAATGTAAGTCACTAACGTGAGGCTCTAAAATCATATGGTGGTGTGCAAATCATATGCGTTTAATTCGTGATTGGTATATTTTCTCATGATATTATTGTATGAATAATCGTTTCCTTTCACACTCGTATTACAACACAAATCATAAAATAGATAAGATCTATATATTATGATCTCGGTAGCAACAGCATGGAGCGTGTTGTTCAGTGACAAAACAATGTGAAAATTCATCGAGGAGATACTTTGTCCTTAACCACCTCAGCATATGTACTATACTTCACGGCAATGACGATTTATCTCCTTTAGACAATGAAAACCTTATAAAATCCGTTCAGAATTATATAACTGAAACTAACCGCTTTACGGAATTCAAGTAACAACCTATAAACATAAAATGCACTTGGTGTCTTGTTCTTTATTTTATTTTCTTTATTTTCTTTTGTTTTGATTCATTCATTAATGTCCTAATGTCTGCTCCATAGAATTAAGTCAAGATAATAACGAACTATATGCGGAGAAGCATTGACATAGGCCATATGGCCTGTTTGTAATCCTATTTTCATTTTGTTATGTCGTGTATTATGAAAAATGTAAACATTAATGGAAATTTTAAAAAATACTGTTTAAATCACAATACTGTATAAATCTCGAACAACCTCTGCGTTTTGCAGGTATATATCGTAGCTCTTTCCAAACGTATTCATCAAGTTTCATTCACCATTTTATCCAAGAAAATTTTGATACCTTTTCGATAGAACGTAGACATTATAGTTTGTTGGACCACTGACTTCAAAATACTGACTTTTGGCATTTCATTTGTGCAATGGTACATTATGTTTAGCACTATCTATGTGCACAAACCGGCCGTTTCAACACATTACCTGAAGAGATATTTTCATAAGCAAGTTTTGCTCTTTTACTGATCCAATGTATAGGTTGTTTATTGCAACGGCAGTGTTAGGTAAACAAGAGATGTGGATGAATGAATCATTAGGACTGGTATATTTTCAAACAATTTAACACGATATTTTGTAGGAATCCTGGGTGACTAACATCATTTCAAAAAATCAGTGGTGACTCGACATTCACAATTGTCTCTAATTTCCCAGGAATGCGACAGCAACATTTCTAATAAAAGCATACGGTCTTTTTGATAGCAACTTCTTGTTAATTGCATAGAGCAACGTTTCTGTGTAGGTTCTCACAGCATGTTCAAGCTAACGGTGACAAAAACCAAGTGATCGAATGCTGTGACAAACATCGTGTACTTGAATAACAAGGGGTAGATAATTGGACGAGGCCAGGTGGGAAGTAAGAACAATAAATAGCACAGTCATGAAGCCGATAAGCAGGACGGATTAAGTTGTAAAAACAGTCATAAAAAACGGGTGCTGATTGAAGTCTATAGCTTGGTCAGCTCTTCGTAGGCTATGGTATGTAGTACCCTTCGTCTGTCACTACATTCACAGCGCTCGTCACACGTTGCTTTATGCAAAGAACAAGAAGTTGCTATTAAGAAGCCGCATGCTAGAATGCCAATGAAACATACAATCATAATTGCTGATCATGACGTTGTTGTATAATTTGTATATATATATACAACCTACTTTATCTGACCTCGTACACCTGAAACATAGTGTATCGAATAGGTCCAACACAGAACTGAACCAAAACATCTAATGTCATGATGACATTGCCTAAATTCCTCAAACCGGTCTTTGAGGTAATAACAGAAGTGTATATAGTTTTAGTTTCCTGATCATGAATCAGTTATTGTCATTCTGATGCAAATACCCCAAACCCAACAAGATCAGATCCAGATCAGTTGATCACACTGATTGCTAATTACCTAGAATAAACAAGAAGTGGCCCACACGCAGGTGTCTCATAAATTATCTGATACAGGTGAAAGGACGGTTAAATACACACTCTCCCAAATAATTAGCCTTTACGAGTATTTACTTCTGGGAACCATTTCCCCTCCAACTTGAAGTTGTTTACAGGAGAAAACAACATCATTTGAAGAAAGTCCATATTGAATTATCCAAAGATGGTGTCTAATCATTT